GGGCCGGCCAGGGCAGGCCGCGCGCCCCCTCCCCCCTAGTCCGAATAGGACAAGGAAGGGGGGCGGCGCCCCCCTTTCCTCTTTCTCCCTTCCTCCTTCCTTTTCCAACAAGGCAAGAGGGGGGAGTCCTACTCCCGCTTGGAGTAGGACTCCTCCAGGCGCACCCATAGGGCTGGCCGCACCTTCCCCTCTCCCTCCTTTATATACTGAGGCAAGGGGCACCCCATGACACTGAAGTTGATCCTCGTGATCGTTCCTTAGCCGTGTGCGGTGTCCCCTTCCACCATATTCCACCTCGATCATATCGTAGCGGTGCTTAGGCGAAGCCCTGCGTCGGTAGAACATCATCACCGTCATCACGCCGTCGTGCTGACGAAACTCTCCCTCAACCTTTTGCTGGATCGGAATTCGAGGGACGTCACCGAGTTAAACGTGTGCAGAACTTGGAGGTGTCGTACGTTCGGTACTTGGATCAGTCGGATCAGGAAGACGTACGACTACTTTCTCTACGTTCTGTCAACACTTCCGTTGCCGGTCTACGAGGGTACGTAGACAACACTCTCCCCTCTTGTTGCTATGCATCACCATGATCTTGCGTGTGCGTAGGAATTTTTTTGAAATTACTACGTTACCCAACAGAACCACCATCCAGATCCGAATGGCATCCAGATCGGACACCCTAGCCACCGACGTGATCTCTTCATCGCCGCCATCAGCACGACAACCCTGGCCGGGCGTTCTATGATGCGATTGTATCAACTCGATATTTCAATTTAATGAAAAGCCCTTTATTGAAAAGAAAAAAAAACTATACTCTGCTACCTCCCGATGTCGGCTCCCTGTGTCGCTGCTGTATGCCGGTCCAAGGTTTCTCTCGAGGACGGATCTGGAAGTCCTCGGGCGCGCTACCGCCGGATCCTATCTCTCTCGAGCACCCGTCCAGAAGGTACACGCACGTTGTGTTGGCTCTGGGCGCGAACGTCGAGCATGCCACGTTGGTCGGTTGCTGGTGGCGGTACAACGGGTCACCGTGGATACAATAGCAGCAGGTAGATGTGCACATATCTGTTGACTTTGCTTTTGGCTGTAACTACCTAATAACTCTAATGGAGATGTACCATTTCTCTGAAGAGTACTTCTCATTATAGTTCACCAAATCACGAGTTGCGGCTAATGATGGGCAAGGAAAAGCGAGCAGCCACAACAACCAACCGGGGGCAATTTATAACAGAAACCAAGATTGCATAAAGTGTGAGGTATGTGTTTAAGCTTTCACAATTATGTGACATCATTCTACGTTGACATTGCATCGCCCCCTAGGGCTGCCTTCTTACGTAGTAGCATGATCCATGGTGCAGCTAGATGCTAAAACTCCTAGCAGGTTAGAACACCACTATGATCTTGGACTGATCTCACAGCTGCAGACATACTTACCATAGACATTCTGGTAGTGCATATTGTATGTTTCTTGTATTATCCTCCTAAAAACAAGTTACAGTGCTATAATTTGTTAATTCAAAAGGTTTAGTCCGTTGATCTCCATAGATTCCAAGCAATCTGGTTAGTTTTCAACTTCCAGTTTCATGTCAACATATATTTACAGAGGTTCCTTTTATTTATTGGAGCAACAGGCGGGCGCGGCAACGCGCGCCATCAATGATCTAGTCTAATCTGGTATTAAAGCCGAAAGCCACACTTCACAATAATAAAATTACGATCTGGGAAACTAAGGATGCAAAGGTTACACCAAAAATAAAATTAAAGCCGTAAGCCACACTTCACAACAAATTGAGAAACTAAAAAAGCACTTTGCTCTACCAAATAATGCCGGCTTGCCTTATACCCCCACCCTAGCTTTGACCAGTAGTAAATTGACACCTATCAGGACCAGATGTGCCGTGGATCAGATGGGCATCTCCAGTTGGAAACGCCAAATAAGGTTGTCGTGTGAACCGAACCGAACCAATTTTATGGTTTTTATGGTTCTGGTTTCGGTATGGTATGAACTTTTCATACCGATTTGAACTTGGTTTTTATGGTATATACCGGAAAACCGAACGGTTAACCGAATAAACCGAAGTAAAAAATAAATTTATATTTCTTGAGATGAACAACCATACAAGTTGTCATTTTTCTTGTACATGAGTCAAATGCACTATTAAGCACATAATTTTTTCTTGTAACATAGTCATTTTTCTATTTTTAAAATGCTAAGCACGTCCATAACCATCAACAGATGAATCAATGCATGCATATATACTTATATATATAGTCATATACTATTTGTGTAGAATAGTATGTGTTTTGAGTCATAAATTTGCTAATTATTATTACGTCATTTCCAAATTCGCGTCAACTTTGGTTTTTATGGTATATACCGAAACCATACCGAAATAATTTGGTATATACCGAAACCGAACCGTATTTTAATTTCATACCATATTTACCGAAGTATTAATACCATACAAACTGAAAAACCGTATAAATCGAATCATGTAAACCGAATAAACTGAACGCACAGGGTGAGTGTGAAGGTCTCGAAAGGATAATTTGTCAGCCAAGCAGGTGTGTGTCAGTTTCATATGTTTGCGACTCCCTCTAGTTGGGTTTCTAATAAGTTTCACATGCATCTGAATAAAAAAATCAAAATTATTTTCTCAGGAAAACATTAGCTATGTGTTAAAAATGTATCATTATATTTGCGTTGAAAGGAAGTTGTCAATAGTATAATTTTATAACATATACCACATATATTATTGACCAAATTAATTGTTAACTTCTTAACTGAAAAATGTACCAGATTTATAAACCCGATGGACGTGAAGGCGCAAGTCAGACCAGGGAAGACAACACCTCAATGAAAAGGAATACTTACATACTCACACATGATACATTAGATGGAGCACATATAGGTTACGTAGACCAGTTTACTCCATTACATTATTTTTTAGGAATATCGCGCTTCATTGATCAAGTATAATCAAGAGAGAGTGCCTCCCGGATACAATCCGGGGTTACATGAAAAATAGAGTCACTAGGGGACTCACAAGATCTAGCTAGAATATGTGCCGCAACATTCGACAAACGATTTACATGACTAAAGCGAACAGATGAGAAGACCGCCGCCAACTCCTTCATATTAGCAGTGATGAGCCCCATCAGCGAGCGATCAACCGTTGAAGCATTGGTTCTTTGGATAACTGAGAAACAGTCTGACTGCAAAACGGCCCTTGAAAATCCTTCATCACAGGTGAGAGCCACCGCACGCCGTAGCGCCAATGCTTCAGCTAATTCTGGGGTATTTGAGGGAATCATATAGCTTTAAGTCGGAGCATGCATATTGTGAAGTAATGAGTGCCTTGGGAGAGTCAGGAAACTCTTCCTCTGATTCGTAGTCAAAGATCTTGCGACGAATCATGCATGGCTCACGGTGAACGTTTCACCTGTGCAAAATGCGCATGAGAAATTGAGCACAACGAGCTGTTAAGCCGATCCAGCTAATAAACAATAATTGACTCCAAAAACGATAATATTTCCACAAGCTTCATATGTGCATACCTTCCATCCTCTGCTTTGCAGCTCATACAATATATTATCATCTTCGGTAATCTGAGGCACATTGAACAGTTCAATATCACCGATGAGGAGCCGAACATGCAACAACCCCTCGGGGAGCTTCTCTATTTGCCTGCATCTCCGAAGTGCAAGGTGGGAAAGCCTTGGCATCGACCCAACATCCATCCGCCACTCCTCAATGGAGAACTCATCAAGTTTTAGCGATTGCATGCGCTGAAACCCTTTGGCAGAGCAGGACATGATTCGGCCACGATATCCGGATAATTCCAGCACCACAAGAGATGGGAGCTTCTCCAACATTGGCATCGGATCTTGTTCAATGATATCAGCAAATAGAACAAGACACCGTAGGCTTTGTGGGAACTTAGCGGGGATCGTCTTGAGCACACTAAATTTGTTGAGATAAATATCGACAAGATGAGGCATGTTTGCAAATATGTTAATCACTTCTAACGGGATATGGCTAATCGCCCAAGAGAAGGTTGTTACTTGATTCATCTGGCCCAAAAAAATAACCATGTTATGACGTCGGTATTTAGTTTCGGCACGCGTAAGATATAACTCAAAGGTCTGGAGCTCTTTATGTCGCAGACTCCTTGGTGGGGAAAACTCATTTCCAAGATAAACATGCCTTAAAGTAGGGATATCCCAGAGGGACTTTGGTACTACCGAGTCCATTTGTGTGCATTTTAGATCTATAGTCTCCAAGTAAAGGAGTTGTCCTATTGAAGAAGGCAATGTCACACCTTTGCATCTTCTAAGCCTGATGTATCTTAGGTAAATGCACCCACCAATTATCCTGGAGAAATTTTCCAGACTTGAATCTTCCACATGAAGAACCCTCAACAATTTTAGCTGGTTGGACAACGATACAGAAGGAATTCTAAAGACAATAAGTGTTCGTGCTGAATTAGATATGCTTTCATGGCAAATTAGATCGCCATTCAAGTTTTGGACAGAAGAATGATATGATATCATGGTATTAGATGAAGATGGACCACCTTGTCCTGCATTTTAGTTTTGCAAAGAGCATATACACGTCAGCAAATTAAGAAACCTCATGATTTGTAATAACACCAAAATTAAATTAAAGATATAAACTTACAATGAGAGGCGAGGAAGCCTAACCTGCAGTTTTGTTGATGACATCAAGAAAACCATCTTGCCTTGCTTCTTCTATGCACCAGTCACGTAGAATGTCATGAATTCTTACTGTTAGAATGCATCCATGTACCTCACTTCTCTCAATAACTTGGACCAAGTTTCTCTGAGCCAACTCGAGTACATACTTATGTGCTGTTTCTTCTAGTTTATGATTTGGTAAATGCGGAATGAATCTTTCTGCTATCCATACTTCAATAAGAGCCAACACAGATATTTTGTAATCTTCTGGAAAAGCGGCAAAATAGAGGTAACACGATCTCAAGTGATGATTTGCCAGGTCTTTGTAACTGCGAGCTAGTATTTCTCGCATCATCTGTCCATTCTTGGTTGATGGCCAATCCAAGAGTATATCACACCATGTTTGTGTGTTTAGATTCCTTGATAGATAGCCTCCCAAAACCGCAAGGGCAAGAGGTAATCCATCACATTTTCTTGCAAGGTTTCTCCCTAGTTCTTCAAACTCATACACATCAATTATGGTTCTCCTTATGTATGATGGTAGAGCTTTGCTGTTAAAAAGTTTCCAACTTTCATCTTCGTCTAACTTCTTCAAATGATGAACATGGGTTGGCATTTGTATATGATTTGCGACATCTTCCTTTCGAGTGGTTAAGAGTATTCTACTGCCATTACTTGCATTTGGAAAGGCTTTGACCTTTCTGTTTATTTGGTCCCATGTGTTGGTTTCCCACACATCATCGAGAACTACCAAGTATCTTCTATGCAAGAGAAAGTCATGGGTTTTTTTTCCCACCTCATACTCTTCCATTTGTTCAAGTGAATCACCCCTTGTCCCCATTAATTGTTTCATAATATCCTTCATTAAATCAATGCCCTTATACTTTTCAGATACAGTCACCCAAGCAATTTTCTCAAAGTGTTGTTCAACTATAGATGAAGAGTAGACTTTTCTAGCAAGTGTTGTTTTTCCCGCACCACCCATGGCAACTATGGAAACAACACTAAGATCCTTGTCTATGTCAACTAATTTATCAACTATTTCTTCATACTCATCTTCAAAGCCAACCATCACAAAATCATCTTCAATGTTTTCGTACATAAGACCATACTCTTGTTGAGACTCACCATCTACGTGAACCTTGTCGTCAACAACACTACTGTCTAAAATAAATTTCAAACGTTCCGCACTTTGAAATATCTCATCGAGCTTCCTTCTTACACGCTTGATTTCGACACCGACTTTGTGAAGAGTGATCAAGTCACCGGGTAAGTGAGCATACCTTGAGATGGCACCTAAGAAGCCCTTCTTGAGCCTGTTTCGCTTGCCCATGTAATCGGTGACCTCGATGACATTCTCAGCCTCATATGAGACGGCCTTGATCTGGCTGACCCAGGTAGCCACACGGTCATCTCCTGATCTCCATTTAGCGTCGGCAGATTTCAGGTACCACTTCAGTCGCTCAAGCTCATTTTTCAGGCACTCAACTTCAAGGGTGACTCCACATAGCAGGCTTGTCTCCTGAACGGCAAGGTTGCTCACGTTCCCGACCACTGCCTTAACAGTAGACTCGGCCATCGATTGCTCTTCCTTGTATGTGCTCCCAAATTAGTGTACTTGTTTTGTAACCAATTCTTCTGCAAATAATCTACGTAGAATCGATGTCAGTATTAGTAAATTCTCTATCTCTACGCTTTTGTTATAGAACGGATAGCTAGAATGATTAATTTAGAGAACCTATAAAGATGATAGCACTTGAGCTTCCAACTCTACTAGAACTCGGCAATTTCATTACTGGCCTATGGACCTGGCGAGAGTGAGCCTTGGATTTGTACAGAAGAAGAGGAGGGAAAAGAGGAGCAAGAGACTCACGGATCTAGGGGATTCATACCTGGCTGTATTCTCCTTGATGCTTGCCGGTTTGCTGTGCGTGTGCTGCGACCTGCTGCTCTATAAGAGTCGTCCCACAGAGTTCTAAACGGCGGCCAGCGTCGGTGCGCGCTTGGCCGCCAGGCTTCGCCGTGCTCTCTCTCTCTCTCACACACACATTTTAGACCGTGGATGTCAGTGACGAGCTGGACAATATGTATCCACTCGTTCATAGGGATGCAGCGAGCCTCTTATCCACTTGCTTTCCAAGCCACTCAATGCAGAAATTGGGAGTTCCATTCATTTCCATTATTTATACAATAATCTTGGTGGATTTGATGAACATGGGTCTACACGCACCCAATTTAGCCAAATAATTAAAAAGAGTCAAATATTTCTGAAACTTTTTCGCAACAAATATGGTTTTAATGTTGTACTCATGTAGTACAAAGTTTCACGACAAAATAACTTCCGTAGACTTCTTGACAAACAAAACAAAATTACAGCTACGAAAAAGGAACTCCCTCCGTCCCATAATGAGAATGTTAGAGATAATTCCTGACATGCAAGACTCGAGTGTGTGGCCTGGCGGCCGAGCAGGGGCGAAGCAGCCGGATCGTGGGCTGTTTGTTGGCTGCATGCATGGTTATTGATTGCGCAAGGGCTGGTTTGTGGGCATGCATGTAGCTAGGAATCAGTTAGAGCATCTTCAACAGGCGCCGGTCGCGCCGCGTGCAAAAAACAGATATGCCGCGCGCGCATCGGCTGATTTGGTGCGGCGCGCAGCGCTGGCTCCAGTGGCCGTGCTAAAATGCAACGCACGCGCGTCGCTCCAGCAGCGCGCACGACTCACCGGTGCATTGCATATAGCATTTTTCAACACAAAATGATGAACATTTTCAACACAATAAAAATTTCACACAAACAAGTTGATGAAGTTCATGCCCACAAGTTTAAAATCATGCCCATAAGTTCATCCAACCAAGTTCAAAATGCAAATCAAGTTCAATACACAAAGGAAAGACACATCATTCCTCGTCCTCGTCCTCGTCTTCGTCCTCGTCCTCATCTTCGGAAGACGATTCTTCCGCCTCCGAAGATGAATCTTCCTCCCTCTCCTCATCGCGCACCGCATCACGTGAAGCTCCGACGGTGTTGGCAAGATCTTCAACGGTATCTTCATGGGAATGTGTGCGAGGAGGCTCATCGAAAGACATTCCGCCCATGGCGGCCGGAGGTGCACCCATGCCTCCCATGAGAGAAGTAAAACTCATGCCTCCCATCGTGACCATAGCGTCGGGGGGTGCTCCAAAGCCAGCCATGCCTCCCATTGCACCTAAACCGCCCACGGTACCTACGAAACCACCCATGGCACCCATGGCGCCGAGGCCACCGCCACACATGGCGCCGATGCCACCGCCACCCATTGCGCCGAGGCCACCGCCACCCATTGCACGAACCATGGCTCTTCTTTGGATCAAGACTTCTTGTTGGGCAAGATTGACATACTCCTTTTGCGCCGCATTGAGGTTAGTTGCGTCCAAGAAGAACAAGTGCTTCTCCCATTCCAACAATCTAGTTCGCTCCTCATTGCTCACCTTCCTCTCCTCCAAAGCCACCTTCCTCTCCTCATTGATCAAGACTTCTTGTTGGGCAAGTTAGATTTTTTTTACCTTGAAGGCATTTCGTCGAACATGTTGTGCGCGCCGGCCGCCGGCTCAACGAGTGAGCTTGCCGGCGCTTCGGCAGCCGCCACGCCCGTCGCACGCCCCGCAATCTTCTTCCTCTTCGCCTTGGAGGTGCCGGAGCCGTCCGCCGCCTTGTTTTTCTTCGCCGATGTCTTGCCCTTCTTTGGCCGCGCCGCATTGGGGAGCTTTGAGGAGGAGGGGGCGGCGGCTCGGGCCGGCGCGGGCGCGACGCCACCCGCCGCCGAGGTCATCCGCGGAGGCATGAAGAGGCCGCGCG